TGGTCTCCATTTGCGTGAAATATTTTTTTCCAGCCCTTCACTTTTAGTTTTATGTGTCCCTTGTTTTGAGGTGGGTCTCTTGTAGACAGCATATATAGGGGTCTTGCTTTTGTATCCATTCAGCCAGCCTTTGTCTTTTGGTTGGGGCATTCAACCCATTTACATTTAAGGTAATTATTGATAGGTATGGTCCCGTTGCCATTTATTTTGTTGTTTGGGGTTCACGTTTATACCACCTTTCTGTGTTTCCTGTCTAGAGAAGATCCTTTAGTATTTGTTGAAGAGCTGGTTTGGTGGTGCTGAATTCTCTCAGCTTTTGCTTGTCTGTAAAGCTTTTGAATTCTCCTTCATATCTGAATGAGATCCTTGCTGAGTACAGTAATCTAGGTTGTAGGTTATTCTCTTTCATTACTTTAAGTATGTCCTGCCATTCCCTTCTGGCCTGGAGGGTTTCTTTTGATAGATCAGCAGTTATCCTTATGGGAATCCCTTTGTGTGTTATTTGTTGTTTCTCCCTTGCTGCTTTTAATAGTTGTTCTTTGTGTTTGATCTTTGTTAATTTGCTTAATATGTGTCTTGGGGTGTTTCGCCTTGGGTTTATCCTGTTTGGGACTCTCTGGGTTTCTTGGACTTGGGTGGCTATTTCCTTCCGCATTTTAGGGAAGTTTTCAGCTATTATCTCCTCAAGTATTTTCTCATGGCCTTTCTTTTTGTCTTCTTCTTCTGGGACTCCTATGATTCGAATGTTGGGGCATTTCACATTGTCCCAGAGGTCTCTGAGGTTGTCCTCATTTTTTTTTATTCTTTTTTCTTTTTTCCTCTCTGCTTCATTTATTTCTACCATTTTATCTTCTACCTCACTTATCCTATCTTCTGTCTCCGTTATTCTACTCTCAGTTTCCTCCAGAGTGTTTTTTAATCTCATTTATTGCATTATTCATTTTTAATTGACTCTTTTTTATTTCTTCTAGGTCTTTATTAAACATTTCTTGCATCTTTTCAATCTTTGTCTCCAGGCTATTTATCTGTAACTCCATTTTGTTTTCAAGATTTTGGATCATTTTTATTATCATTATTCTAAATTCTTTTTCAGGTAGATTCCCTATCTCATCCTCTTTTGTTTGACTTGGTGGGCATTTTTCATGTTCCTTTACCTGTTGGGTATTTCTCTGCCTTTTCATCTTGTTTAGATTGCTGTGTCTGGAGTGGGCTTTCTCTATTCTGGAGGTCTGTGGTTCCTTTTTATTGTGGAGGTTTCACCCCGTGGGTGGGATTGGACAATTGGCTTGTCAAGGTTTCCTGGTTAGGGACGCTTGCGTCGGTGTTCTGGTGCGTGGAACTTGATTTCTTCTCTCTGGAGTGCAATGGAGTGCCCAGTAATGAGTTTGGAGATGGGTCTATGTGTTAGGTGTGACCTTGGGCAGCCTGTATGTTGACATTCAGGGCTATGTTCCTGCGTTGCTGGAGAATCTACGTGGTATGTCTTGCTCTAAAACTTATTGGCTCTTGGTGGTGGTTGGTTTTAGTGTAGGTATGGAGGCTTTTGGACGGTCTCTTATTACTTAAAGTTCCATGTAGTCAGGAGTTTTCTGGTGTTCTCAGGTTTGGGGCTTAAGTCTCCTGCCTCTGGATTTCAGTTTTATTCTTCCAGTAGTCTCAAGACTTCTCCAACTAAACAGCACTGATAATAAAACTTCTAGGTTAATGGCAAAAAGATTCTTCCCCGTTAGGGACACCCAGAGAGGTTCACAGAGTTACATGAAGAAGAGGAGAGGGAGGAGGGAGATAGAGGTGAACAGGAGGCGAAAAGGGGGACTCGAGAGGAGAGAGACAGACCTACGCAGGTGTCTGTTCCCAGAGTGGTCTCCGTAGCCCAGACACCCACAGAGATTCACAGAATTGGATTGGGAAGAGAAGGGGAAAGGAGGAGATAGAGGTGTTCTGAGGTAGAAAACGGAGAATCAAAAGTGGGAGAGAGTAATCAACACACTCCTGAATAGAAATGGGAACTGAATATTGGATTCTTAAATGTCCACAATTTATATAATATACTGAAAAACAAAGATTAAAAATATAGAGTAGAGGTTAGACTCTTAAAAACACTATATTAAAAACAAAAGACAAAACACACAAAAAAATTTTAGAAATATATAGAAACTTCGGTTTAAAAATAGGGCTTCTCTTCTTTTTTTTTTTTGTACGGTTATAGTGTAATGAAAATGAAATTAAGGAGTAGTAGAGGAGTAATAGAGGACTTTAAAAGGAAATAAGAGAAAAAGAAAAGTAGAAATTAGAAGAGAAAAAGGAAAAAAAAAAAAGAAAAAAAAATTTTCCTAATTAAAAAAATCGTAAAAATCTATGAAAATGAAAGTTAACGAGTAATGGGGGAGTAATAGGGAATTTTAAAGAAAATAAAAGAGAAAAATGAAAGAAAAAAATTTTTTTTCTTTACTTAAAAAACAAGTAAAAATATATCTAGGAATTTCTCTGGAGCTGTTGCGGTCAGTGTGGGTTCGGTTCAGGTTCAGATAGCTCCTCGTTCCAGCTTACACTTCTCGATGTCTGCAGGCCCCTTCCGGTGTAGTCGGTGTTACCTACAGGGATTTTAATCTGTTGCACGGGTCCCTTCTGAAGCGGTTCCCTTTGTTTACTTGGCTTCTGTTTGCCGGTCTCTTCAGTGCCTAATTTCCGTCCTGACACAGGCAGGCGGAGGCGGTCTCTCGTTCAGGTTGCTAGTTCCGTCGCGCTGCGGGGAGGGGCCGGCGCTGCTTTCCCCGCTGCGCTCCTCAGGCTCCCCGCTGCTCTATATGGAGCGGGCCCTGCGCTGCGCGCGGTTCCAGCCCTCGGGTGTTCCACAAAAGCCCGGAACAAAGAGCTGCGCCCGCTTCTTGTGCCTTCCCCGTCAGAGCTGCTCAGGCAGCCAGGAGCTCCCTGGGTGTGGCGCGCCTTCTGCCCTCCGCGTCCCCAGCCCCAGACCCCGCCCGCGCCGGTCGCGTGTCTGCGCCCTGTGTCTCGCCGCGACCCTCCCGGCGGATGGAGACCATCCAGACTCTCAGGAGGTCTTTGATTAAAAACTGGAGGCCTGTCTGCAGTGCGGTAGGGGATGTGGCCCTTGGGGCCAAGCCTGCCCCTTTCCCCTCCCCACTGCCTCCAGCCTCCGGCGGGGCTGGGCCAGTCCGCAGCCTGCGAGCTCTTCTCTGGGCTTGCTCCGTCCCTTTGTTGTGCGAAGAGCCAGCAGTGTGTTCGGGCAGGTTAATTTTCTCTCTCTCTTTTGCTGTCCCACAGTTTAAGTTGGTAACGCACAAAAGCTCCCTCTGATTGTCCTCAGGGCACTCAGGCCCGCTCCTTACCCTAAGCAATGCTGCCCGCTCCTCTCCGTTCCTCCCCCACTTGCTGGTGGCGGATGCGGGCGTCTGGGGTACTTTTCTGCTGGGAGTTGCTTTTAGGCACGTAATCTGTGGGTTTTATTTATTGTTCCCCTCCGAGTCAGGTTGCCCTCTGAGATTCAAAACCTTCCCCCAGACCAGCCAGTGCGAGGGTTTCCTGTTGTTTGGAAACTTCTTCTATTAAGACTCCCTTCCCGGGATGGATCTCCGTCCTTAGCTCTTTTGTATCTCTCTTTATCTTTTATATTTTGTCCTACCTCCTTTCAAAGACAATGGGTTGCTTTTCTGGGTGCCTGATGACCTCAGCTAACGATCAGAAGTTGTTTTGTGAAGTTTGCTCTGCGTTCAGTTATTCTTTTGATGAATTTGTAGGAGAGAAAGTGGTCTCCCCGTCCTATTCCTCCACCATCTTGGCTCCTCCCCCGGTTTTTGTTTTTGTTTTTGTTTTCCTACCAGTAATGTCACCTTAGAAGCCCTTGACCAAAAGTGGAAAATGTAAAAGAATTAGAATAAGAATGAGGAGGCGGAGAGGAAAGAGAAAGTACAACTAAATAAAACCCAGTGGACAGGAGGAGGAGTTTTCATGCCCTTGGACAATCCCTGAATCCAACAAGAACAAAGTTACCTCTTCTTTTCTGCCAAAAACTCAGGTAAAGAAAAACCACAGAGTTTTAGTTACAAGAGCCCTCCCACCTCGCTTTTTACTTTGGTACAAAAGACAGTCTCTCCACTTCTACTGGGGACTTGCAGAGGACTTTTTATAATTGCAGACTCCGATTTGTAGTTCTCGGTTGGTCCTAAATAAATTCATCTTTGGCAATCTGTTTTATGTCCAAAAGTTTACTTTCCACGCTACTTTTCCTTTTTTATTGGTTCCATACTATACTAAGCCAGTCACCTGGATGGACTTGTGGACATTCTTGCAACATCCTTGCTTAGACGAGAGAAGGTGGCCACAACCAGCCTGTGAGAGACTAGAGGAAATGAAGTTTATCACAGTCCTGCTGAGAGGGGATATGGATATAGGTCATCATATGGATATAGTGAAGGTCATCATCCACTTTGGGGTCAAATTTGGGGTACAGATGTAAATTAGCAAGTAGGTGAATTTGCAAAAACGGAATCCATGTATAATGAGGATAATTTCCTGTGGGACATCAGATTACAGTCTAGAACACTACAACTTGCAGACTTCAAAGTATTTGTGAAGGTAGACTGAAAGCAGGAAGATGTGTCTTTTCACTGAACATTTACAGAAACAACAAAAAGTAATATTTAAAGGTTTCCTGGGACTTCTTGGGTCATTCACTAGATTTGATGACTTTGGACTTAAATGAAAAATGACGGTGAGCCTCAGAGTTGTATTCAGCGTCTTTGACAAGACAAAAACAAAACAGAGAAAACACACAATTCTGACGATTGGATTACATGGGGGTGTTGGTACATATTCCACACGGACATAATGTATACAAACACACAACTATACTTAAACGAAAAATAAAAACTATGTATGGTTTTATGAAAGCAGTATAAGCCACAATAATGGAACAGTGAGGACACAAACGAGGTTTCCAGGGAATCGCTGGGCGGGACGAGAAAACCAGATTCCAGCACTAGTTCCCTCCGGGCGCCCCCGGGGCACAGGCTCCTGGGCGCAGTCCTGAACGTGGTGGGCCCCGCGCGCCCCCTGGTGGTCCGGGGCGCCCATGCAGGGAGGTTTGTGTCTGGGCTCACTCTGACTTCCCCTCACTGTGTCTCTTGCACAGTAATACACGGCTGTGTCCTCAGGTGTCACGCTGCTTAGTGAGAGAGAGACTTGGCTCCTGGAGGTGTCCCTGGTGATGCTGAGCCGGGATTTCAGGGCTGGGTTATAGCATGTGCTTCCACCACTACTGATTCCACCAACCCACTCCAGCGCCTTCCCTGGAGCCTGGCGGATCCAGCCTACACAATTGCTGCTCAGTGAGATTCCAGAGACAGCGCAGGTGAGGGAGAGGGTCTGTGAGGGCTTCACCAGGCTGGGTCCCGACTCCTGCAGCTGCACCTGGGACAGGACGCCTGTGGACAGAGAGAAGCACGGTGACTCACGGGCTCAGATGCAGCTTCCCCACGTGCCCATGTCTGATCCAGAGACACTCACCGCTGGGAGCTGACAGCAGGAACAGGAAGGTCCACAGTGGGCTCATCTTCGAGCAGATGAGAGTCACCGCTCCCGGAAATCTCTTCAAGCCTGAGGAGCAGCCTGAATTTAAGTGACCTGGTGCTTTGTTTCCACCCTGTGACCTGAGTGGATCTTTGCATGTGGGAGGGGCCTCTGCATAAAAACAGAAAACAATGAAAGGAGGTCCTGTCTATGAGGCTCCCCCTGTGAGGAGGTGCTGACTGTGCCCTGAGAGAACTCAGTCCCTGCCTGAAGACCCCCCCTCCCCATGCCCTGGGGCCTCTGTGTCCAGGAATGAAAGGATGGGGATGGGCTCATCAGGAAAAAAGATGTGGACAAATATCAAGCACAGATTTTGGGAAGAGAGTAATCCCATGGAGGTTCATCTCTTCATTTGTCAAATAAACAGCTCAGATTCAAGGTCTGCATACTTGTCAGAAACTCTTATTTATTGTTCTTTTCTGCATTAGCTTATGTTCATGAACAGGATTTTAAAACAGGAGGGAGAGATTATGTGATAATTGCATTAAAAAAAAACTCAGTATAATTTAAATTTATCATAACTCCAAAGGATTTTTTATTTCCGTTAACAGGCAAGGCCATTTCTTCATCTGAAGCAGTTTGAAACCAAGAGTTTCTCTGGAGGTGGCATGTTCATAAGTACTAACCATGCAGTTAACTTTTTGGACAAAGTAGTCATTTCTACTGAGAAGCTCATCTTCCCACATGGCTGACTTGCCCAGTGGGCTGTCCTGCATGATCCTATGCACAACTGAGTGTCTGCAGGAGCTTGTGGACCTCAGGACCTGCTTCTGGAGGGTGGACATTGCGGACTTCAAGGCTACCAATTACTAAGGACAGACAGCGCCCGGGAGCTCCTAGTGCTCTGACGTGCTGGGCAGGTGCCCTGGTCACTCTGCACAGACTCCGCACTCCTCCAAGTGCTTATTTCTTCCTCTCTGTGTCCCGGCCGTGAGATGGGAGCTCAGGAAACATAGTCCCCACCACAGTGGTGAGAGGACACGCATGGTTCGTGGAGGTAAACCTTCACAGTGAACGGCGTGCAGTGTGAGGGCGGCATGGTCAGAGGAAAGCCCCTCCTCAGGAAGCAGGTTCCCTTGAAAACCCCACTGAGAGCAGCTTTCCCGAGCCCAGGGGCTCCGTGTCCTGGACTGAGCCTGAGGTCCTCTGAGTCAGCAGTGCTGGAGAGCAGAGCACAGCTCCCCCGTCTCCCTGTGGCCCTGAGGCTGTGGCCTCGCACCTGCATCCCGGCTGTGAGCATGGAGACTGGGGATGACGGCCGTCACCGTGCGTCTGGACTTCAGGTGGGCTTTCCGGGGGTGGTGAGTGCTGCCATCAGTGGTGTTATCTCTCCTGGAGCCAGGAAAGACCGGTGTGGGTCCCCATCGCTGACTGACGCCCTGTCCGTGTGACCCTCGCCTTCTCCTGCCCTGAGAACTCACCCCTTCGCGTCTGGGGCAGGTCAGCTCTTCCTCGGCACAGGGATCTCACCTGGACACTGACTGAGGTAGAACCTACTGTCTATGAAAAGCCCTTTCTGGTCTGGCTTTGGCCATGACACTTCTGCACCAGCATGTCTTCTGTAACAGATCCTGTTTCCCGACAGCGGAATGTGCTCTGGGGAGAGGTCCCAGCTCACTCTGCCTCAGAGTGTGTGGGATCATTTGTCCCAGATGGTATGCACCATCATCAGGACTCCTGTCTTGGATCAGGACCTGATCCACGTGACCCTGGAATTGTGGGCCTCTGGCATCCAGGTCACTGACCTTCTGAGGGATGAGAATGTGTCCTCATCCCTTGGCTCAACACCTTCGTCCATCACCAAAGCCAGTGGGGTCTTGTGTGCATCAACTAGCAGGCTTTCCTCTAATCCACTTTCTCTGATCTTGTGATTCCATTGGACCACCTGTAAAATCCAAATATGCTTCTCACCTCACGGGACTGGAAGACTGCAGACCACATCCCCAAATCCACTGCCAGTTGGTCTATTATGGGGTTTAGTTTATGGCATTAGAACCGGAATCCCCAGAGAATCCCCAACAACTCCTAAGCCATGAGCAATCAAATGCTGGTACCCACTCTGACCTGTTGAGTTCAGGGCTTTCTGGATAATGTTGTCTAGTAGTTTTGTGTGGAGTCTTTAGGGTTTTCCATCTATACTGTTATGTATTCTGCATATAAAGACAATTTCACCTCTAAAATCTATGGTAGCACAACAGTTCTAAGAGGAAAGTTGATAACAATACAGGTCTTCCTGAAGAAACTGGAAGTAAGCAACCTAACTTACTCCCTAAAGGAATTAGAGAAAAGAAGATCAAAGAAAGCCCAGCGACAGTAGAAGGAAGGAAAGAACAAAAACCAGAGAAGAAATCAGTAATATTGAGATGAATATAGACATACACACACAACAAACAATGAAAAGGATAAGTGAAACCATAAACTGCTTTGTTGGGATTTTTTGCAAAGACAAACAATATCATAAATCTTTACCCAGGTTCACCAAGGAGAAGAAAGAAAGTACTGGAATAAAATGAGAAATAGATGAGTAGACACGGTATTAGACAACTAATAACACAGAGATCAAAAAAAGTCACGTGGGATTGTTACAAACAGTTGTGTGCCCCCAAATTGGACAACCTAGAAGAAATGGACAAATTCGTAAACTGCAAAACCTTCAAAACTGAGTCAAGATGGACCAGAGAACTTGAAAAGACTGATCATTTTTGTCTAAATTGAATTTTATAATCATCATTTCAAAAAGTTCCAGAAAGAGTCCAGGAATAGACAATTTCTCTTGGGAATTCTAGAAAACATACCTTTGAGGAATTTAAATGCAAAACTTCTCAACAAAGTATCAGTAAATTAAATTCAATGTATAGAAAGGATCCTACACCATCATATATTGTCTTTTACTTGAGGGTCACGGTTCAACATCTGTCAAGAGGCATTTAACAGGAGGCTTCCTGTGTGCTGTTTTGGATCTCTCAGGAGTCCTCTGTTCCTTACTAATTACTGAATATTGAGGAATTAAGAGTGGGACAAGCCTTTCCTGGGGCTGAGGAATCCAGGCATTTCCTTCGTTAGTTTTTCAATATGGTGATAAGTACCCTCTTCTTCTTATGAACCTTAAGATGAAAGTGATTGTTTACAACTGTCTGTCTTTAATATGGATTGCCTTATGTTTTGTAAGTCTGGAATTTTAATCTTTATCTTTGCTGAGAATAACTACCTTGTAAGACAATATATATGCCCACACCATGTTGATTAAAACACCTTTGCTCCATCAGAGCTGGGGTCCCCATGTCTCTTTGTCTGTCTTTCTTTATTTCTCTCTCTCTCTCTCTCTCTCTCTCTATTTCTGGCTGATTCCCTGGAACGTGAAAGCCGGCTGCATAACCCAGGGAATATTAGCCTTTTTCCTTTGTTCATTCTCTCATCATCGACTCCAAACCACCAGATTCTGGTCCAATACAGGACCAAACTCCCATGCGGAAAGTGCAGCTCTAGACTGGACACGGCAAAGAAGCAGATTGTCCCTGACTTTATCCTTTCAGAGGGCATACAGGAGCTCAGGTGGGTGGTCTGTAAACAAGACTATTTCCTGCAATCCGAGAGGCTTGAAGCCCCAGGTCAAGACACCAGTGAGGCTGCCTTCTGCTGAGGGCCCCCTTCCTGGTTCGCACCAGGCACCTTCCTTCTGGGTCCCCAACAGCAGAGGGGGCAAACATATTCTCTCTGGTTTCTTTCTAACCAACCCCACTATGGAGACCCATGGCCTAAGCACTGGACAAAGACCCTGATTCTAACATCATTATCCTAGGTGTGCAGGAATTCCAAACATGAATTCTGGGGGCACAGAAGCATTCAGACCACAGCACTCCCCAAGAGACTGAGGTGTGTGTGTTCCTGCCACACCTGGATTCCAATCCAGTGAAACTGATTTCAGACTCTGACCTGCGGAGTGAAAGGGAATGCGTGTGTGCCGACTGGAGCCCTGCATGTGTAGGAACTTGACACAAGGGTCAGCAGAGTAATACGCACTAGCACATGAGTCTCCCGTCACCCAGTGTCTCCCACATGGCGCCCTCTTACGTGGCGACCACAAGCACTGCTCCTGGGGACCGGGCGCTGCAGGCCATCGTCCCCAGGAGGAGGTTCCTCAGGACCTCAGCCCTGCAGGAGGGGCCAGACGGAACCACGTGCTGCTGCAGACGGAGCCGGACCTGTGCGCCTGTCGGCCCGGACTCGGTAGCCCTGCTCATGGCTGTCCCGCCAGGTGCCAAATGTGGGCTCCTTGGCAGAGACTGGGAGATCGAAATTCATCCTTGGGTTTCACCCAAGCACGATGCCACTTTTAAAAATAAGGAGCAAGTCAGAGAACTGGCCAGGAGACTCTACAGAAAAAGAATCCTAAACTTGACCTTAACCAAATAATCCCAGAAAATGCCTCACCTAACATTCCCAAGAACTCAATACTACTGCTGAAAAAGTAATAAAACCCATAAGCCTCTGGAGGGAAATCTTTATCTTACATCTTGTTTTCATATATTTGTTATCTTGAGAACTCTCTTCAAAACACATGTCCCACAAGAGCATTACTTCTGCTCTCAGATTCTAGACTCTTGGTGACAAGAAGTCAGGAGAACCATCGTTTCTCTCCTCTGCTCTCCCAGCACAGCTGCCCTGCTGCTCAGGGTTTCTGACACCCTCAGGCTTGAGTTTTCACAGTTGGTGTCCTGCACAGTAGTAAACAGCCGTGTCC